TGACTAAAATTGATCAGGTCTCGAATTAATCATATAAATATAAAAGCCGCAAGTAATAACAACTTAAAGTCAACTCAAAGAGAGTTCCCCGTTATACAGATATCATTATATATATAATAAAACCAATAGTAATCACATTTTGCGAGCAGAATATCGAGTACGTAGTTCGACATCTTGTTACACCCTTTATAAACCAACGCTGTAGCTTACAGGAACCATAATTCCATATTTTAAAAAGGAATAAACGTTCATAGTAAACGTACGTAAATAGAATAAAAATTCATCAAGATGAGTATGATGTCAAAAGGATTTACAAAAAATAATAATTATGCTATAATCTTTGATCTTTTTTATTCATAAGAAGGTTATACATAGATAATATTAACATGGAAATGTCGTAGGAAATAGTTTAAGAAGGCAACAATAATAAAATACAATTTTATTAATAAATCTTTAATCGGACTCACTGTCTTCATATTTTCCTTTATTAAATACTTTTTTGCATGTTGTTTTGCAATTTCTTTTGATTCTTTTCCTAAATCTCCGTGTACATCTGTAGTTTAAACAGATATCTCTATACGATTGAATGCAACTTCTTTTACATGTTTTGCTGGCTGTCTTAACACAAAATATATCATTCCTTCGCCTAGTGTACTTAGGGAGTTTAATTAAGAATTCCTCATCACTGATTTCAGTAGATTCAGACGATTGTGGCAGCGTTACCCTCAACTTTGTTAACAGATTTTCCAATTTTTGCATAGAGTATTTTGACATATATCCCTGAAAATTATGAGTACAAACTTAAAAAATAATAAACATGTACAATATTCTATTTCGCTCATGCAGGTTATGGTGGCAAGCTTCGTGCGGTGCCCTTCCAACATCACCCCTCCCCCTTCTAGAAGTATTACCGTCTCATCGTAGTCAATATGTGTATAAAAAGATTTATTTGATGCTCGTTATTTTTTTAACTCTAAGAAGGTATTATATATCGTTGATTTTGTTGAGGAGACAAGCGCTCATATGCTACTGGAATGCAGAGGCCTATCTAGACAAAGTACTACACATCAAGGTAGCCCAAGGAGGAGGCATGCGGCAGAGTTCGAGAACCTATGGGTTTCCTGGAGGAGCTGGGGTGACAGGACTAATGCAACTCCGTGTCACGCATAATAGGCACAGAGTGTCGAGTTGCGGAAAATTCCGCCGTGAAACATAACATAACGTTGCTTTTCTTTGTTATTTGAATTATTATTTGATAATGAATTTTTAACTCTATAATTAAGTATCGGAAACAGTCGTCTCAATACAGCAGTGAGTAAATAAGATCACTTTTTCCTTCACTCTCCCATGCATGCAGTCTCGACAGAGTATGCGAACGTAATATAACCGAATTCGGTCGCTAACTCATAGCGATCGTATTTTAATCGCGCGAGCGATCGATTATTAAAGTCTCTATTATTACTTAATTATTTTTCGTAGTATATCTGATAATTTTTTGCATTCATAATGCTATACTGGAAAATATTTTTATTGAAAAATGCTTAAAAATGTCACTTTATCCCTGATACTCTGAGATAGGGTTTAAACCCACGACCTTTTGTAATCCGGGCGAAACAGTAACAAGTGCTTGAAGATTCGTCAGTCCTGTAAGGTTCTAGGTAGATCAGTGGTTAAGAGCAGAAAGGTTAAGAGCAGAAAATTGTTATATATATATATTCATTAGGAATATATATATAACAATTTGTTAAGCGTGGACCGAATTCAACTGCCAAATTAGTAATATTCATTAGTTTGCTAGCGATCGAATTTAATAGATAGGTAAGTGGGCTTTGTGATCGCTACTTAAAGATCGGTATCAATGTCGAAACTTGACTAGCCGATTTAGGCGTATTTTTGGGGTTTATAATAATAAATCTGAATCAAAAGCCTTTCACTTCTTGTCACGTCTTTTCATGTATATCGATATGTTTTTTTTTATTAAAATACTCACACTCAATATCACAACTAAAGGCGAATCCCTCATGATCTGTTTATTATCATTTTTTGACCTTAAATAGTTACTTGATAATTTTGCCTCTTGGAGTTTCGTTAACTCTTGCATTGCTTTGAATCTCTTCTCGTTTATGTTAATCATTTGTTGTAGGAGATCAGCGAATTTTGCTCGGGCTTCCTTCTTAACATTTGTGGTAGTCTTATGTTCATTGGTGCTACAATGTGGAAGTACCTGGGTATAAATGAGCAGTTTTGAAAAAATACTATTCAAACATTCAAATTTCCTTACCAAAATTATAGGTAGGTAGACCATGTGATAGTTGATTTCGTGGTCTGTCCTGCTCTACCTTGCATATTTTTAATTTGACGGAGAACGGTAGAGCTTGATAAAGTTGACGGTATATTGATAATTGTTCTAAGAGTAAGTTATCCGTCTGCTGCTGCAACCTACTGCCACGTCGTTTCTAAACCAATGAGGTTTTTAACTTTCTATACGAATTTCATCATCGCTAACTTTTATCCCTAACTTGCCATATATTATATTCATTCATTTATCAAAGTATCTCGTGCACCTAACAGTGCGTTGCCATAAGAGGGCAGAAGGGGCTACTGCCTCCCTCCCTAATTCTAATTTAGAATCTCTAATTCTAAAAAGTTGCCTAATATAAAGCAAAGTCCTAAGTGTTTGACATCACTCGCTTTATCGATAATTCCCGTACGTCGTAGCTCGAAGCTCGAATGAACTTATTAAAGCGGGAGAATGGGAGTGGTGCACACGCAAACCCCAAAAAAAAATTAATGTAATAACTTATTTATAAGTTTTATTTATTCTACAGTCAAGAGCTAGCCTAAGTTTACATGTTGGACTCTGTGCTGTTGTTGTAGAATTATCGTAGATGTAAAACTACTGAAAGTGAAAAATATCATGTGCTCTAGAACTCCCTTCTCCCTGATCAGGTTCTAAAATATAAATTTTGAATCCACATACCTACATATTTACATAAAATACAGAACTTTAATTTACGAAAGGTAGGCTACCTTTCATTGGTCAATTTAAGGTATACCGGTTTAAGGTTACAAGGTTTAAGGTATACCGAAAGCTTAAACATTCTATAACAAATTAACCGAGCTGTTTACTGATAAATATTTATATTTTTAGGTAAACATAAATTGTTTCTTTTACTTTCTTAATTGAAAATGTATACTCACTGTTAAATAAAAAAGTGCTGAATACAGGACGACACATTTCATTTCAATAACAACCTATTCATTCGTTCACGGTATTAAACTTCAATTTATTTGTACATCCGCTGAAATAATGAATTTTCTAAGCTTACCAATACATAGTGGTATGGTAAACAAAAATGATTAATTTTGTTCGATCTAAACTTCATCTTAAAATGAACCGAGTGGCTCGTGAGCTGGTTTTAAAGTGTCGCTCTGAGGTCCTAGGTTCGATTCCGAGTCAGGAGTCAGGTGAATGAAGAAAATGAACTTTTGGGTGGTATATGCAGGTTCTATAATACGAGTGCTATAAGTACCTTCTTATTTTGGGATCTGAGTTATGTTTTTTGATGTCTAATATTTAGGTAACTATTTATTTTACCTTTTGCTGTTCTAACTAAAGAGCTAAAGTAGCTCGGTGGCGTACAGGATGAGCGCCACGACCCGCGATCGTTGTTGTTGAGCAACTTTCACAAGGGTCGGTCACGGGATGGGTGACCAAAAAATTATTATCTCGAGTTATTTCGTGCTTCGGCAGGCACGTTAAGCCGTTGGTCCCAGCTGCATTTGCAGTCGTTAATACCCTCCAATCCGCATTGGGCCAGCGTGGAAGCGTGGAGGGTCATGGCCCATCCTCCTTAATCATCCATAAGGAAGGCCTGAGCCCCTGCAGTGGAGTCTTAAAAGAGCTGGTTATGATGATGTTCTAACTATTCAGTTCATATAATTATATCTTGTAAAAAACCTTATAATATTCGACTGTCTGTAATACCCGATACGGGATTTGAAACCGTTACCAACGAGCAACAAAAGCGACTGTTCTAACCACGTTGGTTACAAGAGACCTAGCATAACAACAAGAACCCAAATGTCACTTTTCTTGGGTATGCTCATACATCTCAGTCTTGACCAACACGCGTAGCAGCACTCGTAGCATGACGAACTCGAGGTTTTGTCTACATCCAAATGTCACTTTTCTCGGGTGCGCTCATACAACATTTCACTCTACCCGACCCGCGAAAGTGACATTTGGGTGTAGACAAAGAGTTTGTCACGCTACACGTGCAAGATAAAATCGAGAAACGCTTTGTCTTCACCAAACGTGACATTTGGGTGTAGACAAAACGTTTTCGAGTTTGTTATGCTACGCGTGCAAAGAAGTGACATTTGGGGTAGACAAAGCGTTTCTCGAGTTTCTTATGCTAAGCGTTCCATCGATAAATTCGTCTGCCCAGAAGAGACCAGCAGGCCAATTCCGCTATGTTTAGGGAGTAATTGCATCTCGATAGCTTGCATTTTACTATTGTACTATCTACCTAAAGTAAAATATTATTAGTACAATATCTTTCTCACACATCAAGGGTGATAAATAAGGAGTAATGATACCTTCTCGAACGTGGCACCACATGGCGTGGGCCAGATGAAACTGACATTTAATATTTTACAACTGTACGTTATAACATGAGTAAATATCTTAAAGAAAACAACTTTGACAGAGAAAAATATTTTATTTGTCAAAAAAGTATTGTAAAACATACACGCTGTGCAGTATACACAGCAATCTTAATAAATTATTTCCTGAAGTTTCTGACCTTTATCAGGCTTTCAAGGCCTTAATTTAAATAGCTCTAAACCTTCAAAGATTTATTTGAACATAATATGCACATCAACACTGTAAAAAATATGTAGTAACCCACAAAACCAAAATTTTTCATTAAGCTGAATAAATCATTACTTTTTTCAGAAAAGAAATCTTATTTCTATATAAGGCTATTTAGGGTTACTATATTTATTACCATGGATATTCATATAATTTATTATCGAAAAAGAAAATGATTTTTCTGCTCTGAAGAACAATTTTGGTGTTGCAGGTTACATGTTTGCTTTCCAGTTTTGACATTACAAAATATATCTAACTTATACTATATAACAAAGTTATAATATACTTAAGATCATAATTCGTTAAACTATGTTGCACTTTGCCTGTAGTTTTTAGTGTCCAATATTTTCTTTCCGCACATTGCACATATGCCTTTCTTGTATGCACACGCTTGACAATAATGTGATCCTACTTGGTGAACTTTTGTTCTACATATTCTGAAATAATAAAAAAACATAATTAATTATCATGACCATCATCATCATCGTCACCAGCCTCTTAATGTTCCTCATTGCTTAGCTCAGGCCTTCCCTATGGATCGAATCAAATAGTGGAAAATGGAAAAAGGACAATGACCCACCACTCAGACCCAGTGCTAATTGATGGCTATTAATGACTGCAGATGCAACTGCAAACAAGGGCATAAAGAAGCCTACGAAGTATGGAGTAGTTCGAGATTATAAATTTCTGCAATGGCAAAACTGTCTAGTATACCAAGCACACTAGCCACTGCGTTTTCGTGAATTGATTATATATTTTTTATTACATTCACAATGCCAAGGAAAATATTTGGCAATATCCAGCCATCATAATAATAACAAAATAGACAATAATACCGACCACCAAACCAACCGATTTATTAGTATTGAATGAATTAAAAAGAAGATTTCTATACTAAAACATTGAAGATTCAAGTTCCTTATATATTAAATAAAAGCTAAATTTACAGTTAGGCTGATAAGATCAGTTTCTAAGGGCCATTTACATAATATTAGAGAATGTCATGATTATACTAGTATTAATTTTCCAGCTCTTATATAGTAACTAGCTTTCTGTCAGTGGCTTTGCCAGCGTGATCCCTGGGAACTGTTTATTTGGATATCAATTCATATTATGACCCAGATATAATTACAAATTGATAGAAAACAATGGCAACTATGGTTACACTTTCATTCTCTATACAAACTCCCAGTTCCATATTCATTCCTTTTTTGCTGTTTTTCGATTCATATGATATAGCTTTAAATTTTTTTAAATCGTTCCAGTAGTTTCGGAGCTTATTCGTCTCAAATAAACAAACAATAACATCTTTCCTCTTTATAATATTAGTATATATTCAGCTTTTAAACATATTTATTAGTTATATACCCTACCAAGTGTTAACATTGCATCTTTTTAAGCACAGACATATCAATTTTAACTTACTTGCATTCCTGGAACTTTGATGTATATGGATTGAATCGACCCTTTTTAGCAGTCAAAGCTTTATTTTCTCCCACTTTTCTGCCTCCAGACTCTACTGTGTTTCTAGCACCAGTTTTCCAAGGATCCGGTGTGATGACCCGGCCTAATTTCTTTTCGCATTTTTCACAAACCATGGTGTTTTGAAGACTCCAAAACAACAACAATATAACCTCAAAATTGGGTTATCTATTTCGTCTTCACAAAACTCAATGAATCCGATTAAACTAAGTAAAAATGTTATTCCTCACTATAGTTTTAACAATATTCTCAATTGAAAAGTGTTGCTGGAATGATTTTTATGATGATTAATGATTTTTTTAAACTGTTACGATAATTTGAGTTCTGAAGACGCTCAAAAAAACACCATAACACAACACCATTTCTGTGTATGACCAATAATAGCATCACTGAACTGACTGACTGACAGCTGTCCTAGTGATGCGACTCGAATACATTTTTCACTCGTTCTTGTTTGAAAAAAAAGATTTGCCAAGTATCGAGAACTCGGCGGCGCATCGATTCTCTAGGTACTAGATATTACTTCACTTCCTAGTCTACTTTATTTATCTTCGCAACTTTTTTTTACTTTCTTGATTACATCAATAAATAATAATTTGAAACTCTTTTACTATTTGTCAAAAATTTCTAAAAAAAAAAAGCAAAAGCAATATCGCAATTTATTTTACAAAAGTGACTCGATACCTCAATTATGACTCGAGTGAGGTAATGAGGAAGTGTTTAAAAAAACATTAGTTCCCTAAATCAAACTAGATGTTGCTACAGTACTTTCTTGATTTCTCCATGACAAACCTTCCGGTTTTCTTTTATGTATAAAACTATTTAAAGTCCGACTTAGTATTTAAAAAAAGCGAAAGCACTAAAAAAGCACCTCCACTAGATGGCGACTCTAGCAAAAGTTGATTTTTGCTGGAAGCGAATGGACCAAAGACAGTAATTTCCGTTCCTTTTAACTAACATAATAAAAAACTGAAATTTGAAAGTTCGAAACTAAGACATCAATACAAATACGAAAAACTACAAATAGAATATGAGTTGTTTATTGAGTTTTGAAAACTAATTTACTTTTAAACTTGAAAGAAAACCGGTAAGGTTGTCATGGAGAAATCAAGAATACGTTCTTGATTTCTCCATGACAACCTTACCGGTTTTCTACAGTACGCTGTAGCGACATCTAGTTTGATTTCGGGAACTAATGTTTTTTTTAATACTTCCTCATTGGATGCACAACACGTGAGTGATAGTATTCTGTAAGTAAATTTTGTAAAAAAACATTTAAAAGACTCAACACGTCTCGTAGCATCCGGCAACTCGTTCCAAGGACGAGCGGCATGTATAGTAAAGGACCTGTCAAACACTCTAGAGGAATGCATAGGCATCGCGAATCTTGGGTTGTCTGATGATCTCAAGAGACGGGAGTGGGAGTCAGAAAGAAATTTGAAACGCTTTTTAAAATAAGCAGGAGAAGCAGGATTATATAGGTCATTATATAAAAAATAAACTATGTGAGCATTCCGGCGAAATCGAATAGGCCACCATTTGAGCTCTTGGAGATATTTTTATACATGATAATATTTACGTAATCCAAATATGAATCTTATTGCGAAGTTCTGAAGTCGCTCAAGTTCATTTAGTTGCTCTTCAATGAGATCAAGATAGCTGACGTCGGCATAATCTAAAACTGTTAAGAGGAGAGAATGCGCTCGCGCGATTTTAGTAGCAATAGGTAAAAAAAATCTCAAGTCTCCTTAAGGACGCCTCCGAAGCAAACAGTTTGCGATTTACTTCCTGAATGTAAGATGCCCAGAAGAGATTCTTGTCAAGAAGCACTCCCAGATTTTTAACACAGTCACTATATGAAAATCTCACACCGCTGAATGTAATAGGCGGCAATTGCAACCATTGTATTTTAGATGCCAAGCTAGGACCACCCACCACAATCGCCTGTGTTTAAGAATTTATTTTTTACCCATAAGACACACTCTAAGGACTGATTAAAGCTCAATATGGATTTATATTATCAAATACCGAAGCCAAAATATCCAGGGAAACTTGGTAATATATTTTTTAAATCATCTGCATAAAGGTGGTATGATGAAAGACGTTTATTGGAGACAGTATTAATAAATATGGCAAATAGTAAACGAGATAAGACGCCACCCTGTGATACACCAGCACAACTGTCCCACCAGGAGGAATGGACAATTGGACAGCTGGTTGTGCAAAAGGCGTTCGAGGGGAAAGAAAGGGCAAAATGGATATGGGCCTGTATTCAGAAAAGGAAGGACAAATACGATTTTTAGTAATTAAATAAAAATTAGTTTATTTAATTACTTAACTTTTTTTTTTCTTTTTATTAGGTATATACGTTATAAGATTTGTATAAGTAGTTTCAAAAGCATAAGAAGGGTTCCATATCATCTTATTTAAATAAAATAAATTTCAAGCGTCTTTTTATTACCATTATCAATATCGAGCAAAAAAAATCTCATTTTTTGTATTGAAAAATAAAAATTAATGAACTTTGGAAATAACTTTTTTCTAATTATACAGAGTATATTAGAAATTCATATTTTAACCCTTTTAGTACCAAAACGATTTTGTTTTCTATTTTTAACAGATTATTTATTTCTGTATACAAAACCAACTGAAATTTAAGTAACTGAATTTAAATGAAATATATGGTGTAACTACTTAATTTACTTAACAATAAAGATCCAACCAATGAAACCTTTGTTAAATTTGATAAATTGGAGCTCATCAACTGATAGTGATCGAGTAGGTAATCAACAGAGGATTAAGCACATAATATCAAAAAAAGGTGACAGAAATAATGCATAAATTGGATTAAATAAAAAGTTAACAAAATAGAAGATAATAAAAATCAAAAATGCAATTTTAAAATTTAATTTATATCTTTTCATTTTTTCATTTGAGTTCTTGGATCCTTGATCTTCAAATATGCTGTAAATACAACAGTTACATTAATTATTAAAATAAATGAAAATTAAAATAAATGAAGTTTATTTTGAAAAACTACGGCGTCGAAGCGTGGAACATAATGCTTTCACAATATTACACAATAATCTGTTACTTTCTCATTCCAACGATATTATACTTACGTTAAAATACTCCGACTTTATTTGGAATTAACTGTAACAAATAATATTATTATTGCAATATCACTATTAAGTTAATGATATCGTTAATTTGAAATTTATCGGAATTGTCTTAGGCAAGCGTTAGACGCAAATATTAGGTTGGGGTAAAAGTGTTTTCGCATATAGTATACATAAACTTGTAATAAAATCTTTCTGGCTATACACCATTTGTATCTGTCTGGTTTCGATATCGATCGATAATGAAGAAATTCGATATATTTTTAAATTTTATTAGATAAAGTTAAAAAGGCAACGCATGCCGCGAAAAAAAAATTACGTTTACGTATTGACCTATTGCAGTTTCTGTTAGAGCAAATTTGGTTTAAGCGTTTTCAGTCCGGAAATTTTGTTATCACAGATGCACGTCGCGATCGCCCTGTTATGGATATAAAAGATGCCATTTTGAAAAAGTGGAGCAGGATAGGCATATCAGTAGTTACAACATTACTGATGAACTGAGGATTGACCTCAAAATAGTTTTTGCGCATTTGAAAAAAAACCCAAAAAATTGGGTATTTGGGTATCTTACGAGCTCACTGAAAGAAACCTTATGAACCGTGTACTTGTTTGTGATTATTTATTACGGCGTAATGAACTGGTGATCAAAAGTGGATCACTAACGACGATAACGAGCAAAAAGTTCGTGGTCAGGCTTCTCAAACTGGCGAAACCCGGGTTAACTCGTAACAAGGTGATGCTGTGTGTATGGTGGAATTGGAAGGGCATTATTCATTATGGGTTGATACCGCCAGGCAGGACCATCGATTCTGAACTCTACTGCGAACGACTGATGAGATGAAAGCAAGAAGTTGAGAGAAAGCGGCCAGAATTAATCACTAGAAGGGGTGCGGTTTTTCATCGTGATAACGCTAGACCTCACACATCTTTTGCCACTCAGCAAAAATTAAGAGAGTTTGACTGAGAGGTGTTAATGCATCCGCCGTATAGTCCAGACTTTGCATCTTCAGATTTCCACCTGTTTCGGCCTTTTCAGAATTCATTAGGCAGTGGCAGGTTAACATCACGCGAGTACCTCAAAAACCACTTTTTGGGTGGGATCATGTCCCCTTACCTGCTTAAGGGATTGCGATCAATTTTGAAATAAGACAATTAGTCTATATTATGATACAAAATATAGGCTAATTGTTGTGAGGTTGCTTGTACAACAGATACGTTTATGAAATCCTAATGATAAAATAACTCTACTTTCAATGACTTAAGTTTTAAAATCAACCTAATAAAGGTCACAGCACACATATCAAATCGGAAAGGGATCGTCACCGTATAGCCTTTCGCCTCGCCGTCAACCAGGCGTCAACCTAATGTATGCATGTAACCAAAGCGTAGCAGCGGCTCCTGTACGTCAACTCGGCTATGGCTAGGCGACACCGCGCTTACGGCTCGCCGACCGCTGGATGATCTGGTTGGCACCAAATCAGTTTGAATCCAAACGTTGAGTGTTGCGCACAGTTATGTCTCGGTTTACAAAACGTGAGATGGCTATTATAGCCATAGCACTTGATGAAGAGGAAAAAGAAAATAAACGAAGAAAAAGATATTGGGTACACGATATGAATAAAGCAAGGAGTACTGAAGCCGTGAGCTCAGTTACGGAGAGACGTAAGCGCGGGAACGACGAGCCGTAAGCACGGGAACTGCTAGTTAACCACGCACCGCATCGCGGTTCGGAGCCTATTCCGAGGCGAGGCGATTACGTTAAGATTCCAATTAGTGTGCGTTGCAGTAGGGAGTTTCATACAAACAATACTGAACGGCTCGAGGCGACACGGTGGCGATCCCTTTCTGATTTGATATGTGTGCTGTGACCTTAAAGAATCATGTCCACTTTCCATACATTGATTAACCTGTAACATTTTTTAAAAAGTAGTGTTTCCTTCTATTGGCGATAATTAAAATTAGTTTTTGCATAACATAGAATAATTTATAAACATTTTTTAATCTGGATTCGTGATTTATAAATTATGTTGTCTGTAGCTGTCAAAACTTGAGATAATAGTTAAGCTACTTTAAAAATTAATGAAATAAAGCCTTTTATACATTGACTCATAAATATGGAAATAAATTGATATGTAATTGTTTATTTGCACTTTTTTACCTTAT